GTATTCAAAAAATTCATATCATAACAAAAATAAAAACCGGTATTCGGTACAAAACGGTATACCACCCAGCACTAGAGGAAACCCCAGAAAAAAAATAAAAAATATGCATGCATGTGGAGAGCAAGCAAGCTCCACCCATATATGCCCTGTGCCGAAGATGATCCGGCTAATATGACCTGGCAAAGAAACAAGTGAGGCAGGAAAAACTCAGCTTTTCTAAATGAAATTAATGCTGAGCAGGAAGTTCCCCAGGAGTTAAAGATGACTCTTCGCCTCAGTAAAAGTTTAGTTGTTTCTGCTTTCAGATCATGTTAARCAGTCACAGTGCTCATCAGAAACATTGGCCACACAAGCCTGACACAGTGTGGTCAGGCACTACTGTTCACTGTCAGTTCTGAAAGACACATCACTAAATCTTATTTCAATCTTTTGCACTTTGGCCTAAGCCATTTAAATTTCACACAAGTTTTAGACCGGTGCTGTCAACAAGAACATGCCCATATGTTGTAGTTTCCTTGAGCAAGGCACCTAACCCTTGTATGGAACATGCATTGATAACAATATAAAGTACATATTATGAATCAATGGACAGTTATTAATGTGAATCAGAAAGCAATCATCGAGTGCGCATCGACCTTTGATTAACTTTTGGAATCAATTTTATTTTAAGACCAGAGTCTTGTTTGATATTAAATTGATAAAACACAAAAATGACACACTAGTTCGGGTTGCGCAAAATCGTATCGTGTGCAAATAATCGGCAGAAAAACGGGCAACAATTAAGATTTGACTTGTTGCTATTACTGCAGTTAGTGCCACGTGATGACATATTTTTGTGTGTGGCACACTGTCACCGTCAGGCACGCATGTGAGCCCAGTSGTGGAAGGTGTCACGGAGCAACTAACCCTAACCTATGGACTTGTTAAATCACCTGAAACACTGATTAAACCAGATAACGAGGCAAGCCAGAAAATGTGGACCAAGGCCACAACGTCTGCTACATGCAAGTGCAGTTGGCATCTATTAATCGTCATTTTAAGTGCCAAATGCCACAATTAATTGTGGTGAATTTTTTTTTGCCAATMTTGCCCAACACTAGTAGTAGCTGAGAGTCAGCATACTTTACGTCTTGCAGTATCAAGTAGCAGATAATGTTATTTTTAAGATTTGACAAAAACGTCYACAACTCTTAGTTTAAAATCCTGCCATAAAAGGAGACATTACTGATATAAATTCCTYTAAAGTCCACTAGCCCTTTATTTTAATATATTTTGCAGCTATTACAAATTTTACCTACCTCTTGTTTTATTACAATAAATTACACTGCCTGGTCAAAAACAAAGGTCACTCACTAATAGGGATGTCCCGATCAGATCCTCAGTATCGTATCGGTGGCAGATATGGCCATTTTCTGAGAATCGTGTAGAATCGGATTTAGTCATGATCGGGCCGATCCAGTTTTCGTGACAGTTTTCAGCATCATCATGCTTTACAACTGCTGTTAAGAAGTCAACTCACACACAAGTATGCAACCATGCCCACAGTGTGGGAACACTTTTCAATGGAAACGATGCTGAAACTGCATCTTGCAAAATCTGCAAACTGGATGTTTCTGGTGGTGGGAACAGCAGGGCTCGCTTCAATACTACCAACCTTGTCACTTGGAAAGAAATAAAAATAAAGCTATTGGATCGGTATTGGAAAGACTAATCATTAAAAAAAATCGGATTGTATCGGGAGCCAAAAAATCTGGATCGGGACATCCCTACTCACTAATATTTTCTTGGATTTCCTTCAGCTTACAGCACATACAGTAGTACAGTAGGCACTAGGCATGATAAATGCGTCACTTCAGCCCTCTCTTTTACCCGATGCACCCATCACTCTAGAACAGAGTAAACCTGGACTCATCAGACCACATGACCTTCTTCCATTGCACAGTTGTTAACGCAATTTTAGTAGTTTCAGCAATCTCCTTAGATGTTTTCTCTGACTGATGCATGCCAACAATTTAACCCGTCTGAAACAGATTACCAWTTTTAATTCAAGAAGCTACTCGCTGCATCAGTTAGGGTTAAATAACTTGCTGCCAGCTGAAACATAATCACTCCGGCAGTAATTATCCGATGAGAGGCTCTTACTATTTGCTTAGTTAAATCCAAGTGGTGACCTTTTTTTTTTTTGGCCAGGCAGTGTGCGTTCCCATCATCGGTTCACTTTGTTGTGTTTCCAACCAAGCAGAAACTCTGCTTACTCAACATAGGTGTGTCTCGTTTGACTGTCACCTGGAGACCAAAGCTTTTGAGTGCAGTTGGTTTGAAGYAGACCATCCTTGTCTTACAGCAAACACAGAGTTTGTGTGTAAAACAAGTGGCTCCTACCCCACCACCACCACCACCCTGGGCTCTCTGGCATGGGTGTGTGACCTGAATGCTGCTCTCTGTATTGTTGCTCGTTCCGCGTGGAAACGGGAGCTTTTGTGTTTGCCCAAATAGGAAGATGATTCGAAGTTGATTGGTCCAGAACCGGTCAGTCCGGTCCAGGTCTGCTGTGGGTACAGCTCCCAAAGGACCGGTCCATGTGATTGGCAGCTCAGAGCTGACTTCACGGGTGTTTGCAGGCACCGGGGGGCAACATCTGACTCTGCAGAGCAATCACTACAACAAGGTGGCTAAAAATCTACCATGGCAGAAATCCTGTTCTTAACAAATGTGGCTGTTGATGTAAAAAGAGAAACAAAGCCAATTCTTTTATCTTACATGTGTTCTATTGATTTGTATGCCTTCCTGTGGGTGTGGCTCATTCAAGACTTGTTTGTTTAATGGGAATGAATGAGGCGTAACTGTGACTGTTCTGGTCTGATTGAATCAACTATCATATCAACCTGGCTGTTTCTGCGACGTCTTGTCTTAGCAGAAAACCKTTCAGTGAGTTGTACATTTTCTGTTCAGTCATGCTTAATGTTATGTAAGTTCTTAAACACCAGATCAACTCTAATCTGAACCTTGTTTTGTCACTTTTCTACTTTGCACTTATTAAAACCTCTAACAGGAAGAATAAGCAGACTAGGCTGCCACAGTTCTGCATTATTTTTCTTTTCTCACATGTTGAACTTTTCCCTCCTGTGTGCTTTTTCTTTAGGTTGTACGTTTCTCCTAAAAAACAAGTAGTGGATTCAGGTCCAGACTCTCCGTTGACGTGGTGTCGGCAGGTTCTGGATCATCGCAGCCCAGAGACAGAAATGGCTTGTCGGACGTTGATCAACCGTTTGGATCAATGTAGGCGTCTAACACATGCAACTG